ACACTGATGCTACACTGGGGACCTGCCAGCACTGGGCACTTGGCAAGTGCTTTCCTCTCCCCTGGGGACAATCCTGCTCCAGCAGCTCCAAGGGCACCATCCTTGCATGGAGAAAAATCCCGTCTTGGGGTCTGCAGCCCTCAGAGTCCTCCAGACAGGGAGATGTCCCCAAGCAGGTGCTGGGGACAGGAAGGTGATGGTCTGGTCACTGAGAGCCACGTCCATGCAAGGATGGCTCCTGTCCCAGTGCCACCCATCCCAACTGCACTGGCCTTACAAGGACTGAGACGGCTCACCTCCCCCTCTGCTCTGGATGCCACCGTTCCCAGCTCTGCCACACAGGGACTGTCCCCATTGAGGCCCTGCAGGAGGTCTGCCAGCCTGGGAGGGCAGCCAGGCACCCTCAGCTGGTGCTGTTTTGGGGAGCAGTGAGGGATGATGGGTGCTGTAAACACTGCACCCCAGCCTTGCTGCCCACCAACAGGATGTGTCCCACTCCAGTGCATCCCAACCTCATCCCACAGGCCAGGGTAAGCAGGTCATGGTGCCACCCCAAGCAGCAGGGGTGCCCCTCCTTCTGGGCACAAAAGCATGAGAACCTCTCCTTGGAGAGCTGCAGCCACATCTATCAGATACTTCTCAAAGCCTCTTCCCCTGCCACAGAGGCTGAGTCGGGGTCTCTACACCCCTGTCTGTCCCTGACCAGTCATCCAGAAACCATGGAAAGCTTCCCAGCACAGAGGTTTGCAGGATTTCCAGCAGTTCTGGGGCTGTGGAAGGCAGATGGGTGCTGGAGAGAGAGGTCTAGCAGGTCTGGGGTTACAGGGCAGGGGAGCCCCGGCTGGCTCCCCATGGTCCAATGTCGCTGGCCCAGGGCTCTGTGTTTTCCTGAGCCAGGCACAGGGTGTCAGCCAGGAGTTAATGATGCTGGGTTTAACAGCAGCAAAGCAGAGGTGCCAGGGAAAGCAGATCCCCAGGGACACATCCCAGCCATGGTGTTACAGGGCAGCCAGAGTGGCCAAGGTGTCCCTGAGCTGTGCCCCACATCCAGTGGGGACAAGTGGCACTTAGGAAGAGAAGCAGAACCAAACTGTGCCCTGTGAGCCAGGATCAGCATGGCTCCTGGACTGGGACACCATGGGGACATCAGCTGGGATGGCTCTGCCTTGAGGAAGGTGCCTGAGCCCTGGGAGCAGCTTGGGGCTATCTGGGGCAGTCAGCCACTGCTTGATCCCAAGAGCAAGTCTCTTTTCCACTGATACCAGGTCCCTGTCCCTCCCTGCCTTGCTTCTCCCTTTTCAGCTGCCCTGGTTTACATAATTAAAGCCAATTTGCTGTGACAACATCTTAATCCCCTCTGCCCCCTTGGGTGGAGCCTCTTCTCTCCTCTCACTTCATCACTGCTCAGCTCAGCATCCACACAGCCCCGGGGTGGGTTACAGAGTTGCAGCCACCCTGGGGATGAGCAAGGGGCTGCAGGAGCTGTTCTGCAAAAGGGATACCCAGGAACCACCACATCTCCCCATCCCACTGCCTGGTCCCAGTGGCTGCAGCCAAATGACAACACATGCCTGCCCCATGCTGAAGGATCCCCTCAGAGGGGCCACAGTCCTTCTTCCAAGCTTGGCTGTGACAAAAGTGGCTCTTTCTGAGTTTTCAGCCCCGAAGCGGCTGCCGGAGCCAGCGCCCGACTCCCTCTCCCATCCCCAGGCGGCACCAAAAGTAAGTTCATTGTTTGAAAAGCCATCAGTCAAGGCTTGCTGGCTAAAATTACCCTCCTGCTTTATCATCTTGAGAACATTAAGGGCTGTTGTTAACAGATGTTTCGCGTTACACATTATTTGTTAGTCTAATGAAAGGAGGTGAACAAGCTTTCAAGACCTCAGAAGCTGTGCCGAAGGTTTTCGATGGGAGGCTGTTGCACCGCTCCAGGGGAGGATGAAGATGAAGATGAGGACAGGGACAAGCTCTCACCACCCTGTTGACTCTTTCTTGCTCTTGCCTGGCTTGTGGGATTTCTGATTTTTTCGGTGTCATGAGAGCAACGTGTTGCACAGATATTTATGCTCTTCTTCCAGGAGGATGCACTGGGTGCCCTCAGGGCCAGTTTGGGGCTGGGGCCAAGGCAGGGGCTGAGCAGTTCCTTGGCTGGAGAAGGAGGTGGGGATGGCTCTGGCTCTTGGTGCCAGCAAGAAGGGATGTGCTAGCCCTGCAAAGGGACTGCGGAAGGGCTGCTCCTGGAGGAGAGGTGTGCTGAGGGCCCCAGACATGGGGCTGCCCCCAGCCACCCTCTCCAGTGGGAAGGTCTGTGGGACAGAGGCAATGAATGAGAGCAGGAGGGGGTCGAATGCCCTTCTGCAAAGAATAAAACCCTGCCCCAAATTTCTCCATCTCTGCCAGCCTCTGGAACAGAAACCCCCTGCTGCTGCTTCCCTGGGGAAGGGGAGGGAGTTCTGTCAAGGCTGCAACCTGCTGAGCACAGCCTGGGGCTGCCTAAAGCATCCCTGTGCCAGCGCTGCCAACACACCCCCTGGCCTGCAGCAAGCCCTGCCCTTCACAGGGGTACCAGCAGCTTCACAGCAGGTTCAGGGCTGCTCTTGCTCCCTAACAGGTTCCCAGGTGGAGCACAGAACCACATCCTGCAGAGACACACTGGGGTACTGTGTCCACTTGTGTTCATAATAAACCCACTGCCACCGACCTTTGGGGCTCCAAACTTGCATCTGGCAGAAAAAAAACCCCAAGATGGTGAAGAAGAAGACGAGAGAAAACGCTGAGAGTGTGTTTTACTTCAGGATGCCAATAAAAGACAACATTACCAGTAAAAGTTCCTCTGCTGTCATCGCGCCGATGCCGAAAGCATCGCAGATGTGTAGCAAAAGGCTGACTCTCACAAAGGCAGGACAGTTGCCTCAGATTTTGTGTCTAGGATTTTGAGTCTACCCATCTCAATTTAGGAAACTGCATCCCAGCTAAGGCAGTGGCCACAGGTAACGGGTCTCAAAGGTCGATGTTTGCATGGGCGCAACTTTTCGTCTCTGTCTTCTCATTCTCTTCTTGCCCGCTGCTCTCAGGTGTTCTTCTCTCCAGGTAGGACCAAGGGAAGAAATGCTTCTGCTCTTGGACAGCCTGTCAGAGCATCCCAGATGCTGATGTTTTCCTCATCCCTGCAAACTCACCCTAACAGGTGCTAATGGGAAATATCTCACATGGGCCAGCAGTGCTGGGATCTGCAGGCACCAAACCCCCTGGGCCTCTGCCCCAGGAGTAGTGGGGTTTTTGGTTGAGATATGGGCTTGTAGTGACTCAGGCAGGCCCCTTGCCTCTCTCTCTCTGTTTTTTGCATCAGACCCGGTCCCCACTGAGCTCTTTGGGTGCATTAGGAGCTCGGCAGGGCAGTAGTTACTCTGCTGTTTTGCAGACAGCCCTGTGAGACCAGCTGAGTGCTGCAGGCTGGGCTGGGTTTCCCAAAGCTGTGCTGATCCCACAAGGAATACTGTCCCCCATACAGTCCCATCACTGGGTGAAAACCACCCCAACAGTCCCACAGGCAAAATGAGAAGTACAAACAGAACCCAAGGGAAAGGGAGGGAGGATGGAAAATAACGCTGAAAATACCAGATACCATCCCAGAAACACAGCGCCCAGCCTCACCCAGCCCTCAGCATCCCGGGCACAGGCAGGCTGGGGGCTTAGTGGGGCTCCTCCATGGAGGAAGGGGGTTGTGCAGGGAATGAGATGTGGGTGGGAGAAAGATGCTTCAAACCTGCCTGGAGTGTGGGAGCCCCGGGAGGGGACAGAGGGAGCACCCGGGGGGAGGTTCCCCACTGGGAACCGTCCCTCACCACAGGTCTGGGCAGCCTCTGGGGTGGGCTGAGCCCCCCTCACAGGCTCAGCTTCCCAGGTGAGCTGTGCACCCTGGCCAGGCATGGGGCAGACCCTCGGCAGGGCCATCAGCACCTCAAGGCTGTGCTCTGGGGGCTGCAGAAAACGAGCTCAGGGTACCACAGCCCAGCCAGGAGGCAGGTTTTGGGGATGTCGCCCCAATGTGCCCTCGCAGTGAGCCTGGGGGATGGCGGGGCTGCCCTCCCACTCCACGCTCTGCCTCCCCTCCGTCACCTCTGTGCCCCGAGGTGACACCCGCCTCCGGCGGGGGGGCTCTGGCGGCTTGTCGGCTGCCCCTGGACCGAGGCTTTGCCCCAAGGACGGGGCGAACCCTCCTCGCCCCCCCTCCAAGAGCGGAGCGGGGATGCGCGGGGCCGGCGGAGCTGCGCGGAGGGTCGAGGGCGAAATTGTCCCGTTAGAAACGTTAAACCCCCGGACAGGACCCAGCGCCACGAAGCCGCGTCCCGGGTCGATCCCCGTCTCCTCTCCGAGCCCCGGCTCTGTCCCCCTGGCCCGGTGCTGCCGGTGCCGCCGGCCCGGAGACGCGCAGCGGCGGCCGCCGGGATGGGACCCGCTGCGTCCCGGTCCCCACGGCCCCGCCGGGCCGCCCCCGCTCCCCGAGCCCGGAAACCGAGGTGGGGAGCTCCGGGGGCAGGGGGGACCCCGCAGGCCGCCCAGGGACGCACCGACTTCCCGGGAACGTCCAATACCCGGCACCTCCGCTGACGGCGGGGAGGCGGCCGGTGAGGGGTCCCCGTGCCTCCTGGCCCGGTGCGGGGTCTCTTTCTCACGGTGCGGGGTCCCTGTCCCCCGGTGCGGGGTCTCTCTGTCCCAGCCGTCGGGGTGTGGGCACCCCCGCAGTTCGCCCTGACGGGAGTCACCCCTCTCCTCTACCTCCTCTATCCGCTCCCCGATTCACCCCAAACCCCGCTGCGGGGAGACACCGAGCCCCCTTTGTCCTCCCTGCCCGGCCCGCGGCAGGAGGGACACGGCGGGGACACCCCATCCCCAAAACTGCCCCAGCCCGGGGGAGCCCATCCCGGGGCGGCGGGGACACCCCATCCTCAAAACTGCCCCATCCCGGGGGAGCCCATCCCGGGGCGGCGGGGACTCACCGTCCTGGGGCGCTGCCTCGCTGCCGCTGCTGCCTCCCGACGGCTCCGGGATGGCCTTGCCGCCACCGGCGGGCGGGGGACCGGCCGCGGGGGTCCCGTTCATACCGGCCGCCACCTCCTCCAGGTCGAGGAGGTGGCTCACGCTGAAGTTTTTCCGGCTCTGAGGGTTTTCGGGCGGCTCCGGGCCGCGCACGGCGCCGGGGGCGAACGGCTTGTCCATGGCGAAGGCTGGCGCCGAGTCCATGGCTCCCACCCCCAGCCCGCAGCCCACCCCGAGGTGCCGGGCCGCTCCCCCGCCCCCCTCCCCCTCCCCCCCCCCCCCCCCCCCAAAAGAGAAAAAAAAAAATATTATTTATATTTTTTTTTTTTAAGGGGGGGGGGGGAGAAAAAAATCACGGCTGCCCTGTGAGTCCGGCTCCCTCCCCAGCCCCTGTTCCGCCTTGTGCTGACGTCTGGGGAAAAAACCACGCTCCCAGCCCAAACTTTCTTCCCCTGCTCTTTGCTCTGGAGCTGTTCAAACAAACGCCCCTGCTCAGAGCCGAGCGGGGCGGCCCCTCGCCCCCCCCCAGCTCCGCGACCTGCCCCCCTGCCAGGGGCCGAGCCCCGCCGGCAGCCAAGCCGCGGAAAGGGGGGGGCAGAGAGGGAGGGAGACCCGCTTCTCCCCCCCCCCCTTACCCCAACCACATCACTCACCCCCCCTCACCCTATTTTAAGTGCTTCTATCAACAAGTGTAAGTGGCTGCGCTCCGTGGGGAGGGATGGGGTGGGTTGGGAGAGGGGCTGGAGGGAGAGGTGACCCGCAGGTTAGCGGGGGACACGGCCCCCCTCCACCTCCAACCCCCCCCCCCTCCTCCGGTCCCCATCAACCCCGGAGCAAGGTCACCTCTCCTGGGAAAAGCCTGGCTCTCTCGCCTTAATGAGATAATTACGTCCTGCACCACAGTTAAAAACTCATAGGCTGCTTCCCTTGGGGTTAGAAAGAAACCTCCCTAATGAAAACCAGCCACCGGGAAAAAGGAGTTTTTCCTCTTTAAAATTATATATATTTATATATATACACACAGAGATATGCAGGGAGGAGGCGGTGGGAGGGAGGGAGGAGGGCAGAGCGTGGGGCTGGTTGCTGGTGTCCGGAGAGGGCTGGGCTCGGGGCGATGAGCAGAAATCGAAGAGGTTAACAGTTATTATTCCTTCCCCTCGATTCCAGCCGCTCTCCTGCCCGCCGCTGCCGGCACATATGGACGGGGCTGTGCACACGCAGGGTTCCACGCGAAATCTCCCAGCTCTGAGCTCATAAACATCCCCGCTCCAGCGCGACCGAGGGAGGCAAACCCCTGGCTGAGTTATTTTAACATTTGTCGAAAGCTTTTCTTGCACTCTCTTCCCCTTCAAGTCGGAGGCGTGCAGATTTTTAAGCCAGCCAGTGCTGCCAAATCTGATCTTCCTGACAGGGAAGCAGCTTCCCAGAGCTCTCCAGCCTGGAAGGGGTGTAGCTGAAGGCAGATTTTGGCTCTCTCCGACTCTGCGGGGGGCTCCTCCAGTGTGCAAACAAGCCAGCCCAACCTCCCTTCCCCCCTCCTTTTTCTTTTTTGGGTCCATTTGTTGGTTCTATCGGTCCAATTTGTTGGCCCGAGGGGCACTTTGGGAGTCAGCTCTGATGTCTGGTTCTGTCCCCTTGGCTGTGTAAATCACGGGCTGGTGTCACACAGCACCAAACCTGACAGAGCTCAAGGAGCCTTTGGATGATACTCTCAGGCACAGGGTGTGACCCTTGGGGATGGTCCTGTGCAGGGCTAAGGGTTGGACTGGATGATCCCTGTGGGTCCCTTCCAACTCAGCATATTCTGTGATTCTGTGATCTTGTGATGCTGCTTCTGCTCCTGCTTCCCTGGGGGATGCTCCCCTGGGTGGGTGTTTTACCTCTGCCCAGCACCCAGCTGGATGGGCCCCGTGTCACACAGTGCCAGGACAATGCTGTGCACTGTGGTTATGCCCTCAGTGTGTGTTTTAGAATATAGATTGAATACATTGCCATCAGCCCTCCTGGCTGCTCTATCCTCTCCAGGGGGGAGATTCCTGCATCACCCCTGGGACCACTGGGCCCTGGGGGACCCAGCTTAGCCTCGTGCCGCCCTTCCTCATCCAGCTACCTGCTCGATCCTGCTTTTTTCCACTCTGACAGACCTTTCCCAGGATGGAGATGACACCATGTCCAGGAAAAACTGCTCCAGGATGAACCTGGGAGATGGAAACGTCCCCTTGGAGGACAGTGACCCATCAGCAGTGGGCACCAACCAGTGAGGGCTGGTAGGAGGGCTGGGGCAGTGAGGACTCCCATCCTCTCCCCAGCATTTCCCCTTGGCCTCAGAGGCTGGGAACATCTTGCTGTGATTATTTTGGGGAAGGTTGTGGGGCAGCTGGTCTTGGCCCACGAAGGGGCAAGGGCAGGAGGGGGGATGGAGCAGCCTCAGCCCCATTTATAACCCTCTTCCTCCTCCTTGTTCAGGGCCAGACCTTGCTCTTGAACTGTCTGGCTTTTCCAGGGGAGACGGCTTTCCCTCAGTCCGCGGCATTAAATAATTAAATGGAGGGAATAATCGTCGGTGAAACCCCCTTGGGTTCGCACTTCCTCGGGCCCTGTGATTGCTGATATTTTTTTGGTTGAAATATGACCTTTTTTATGATCAAAGGGGATCAGAGTTCCAAAGGAAAGTAGAAAAAAAAAAAAAGTTAAAAAAAAAAAAGAAGAGGGCAAGCATTTTCTTTTTTTTTTTCCCCAATCCTAGCGGTCTGGTAAAGTTTCTTTAGACATGCAAAGATTTACACACCTTTCTGCAGGGTGCCTTAAATTACCCTCCAACTCTTTACACATTTCCATGAGCAGAGCAAGAACAGTAAGTCATTGAGAAATTAACTGGCCTTTCAGTAATATCCCCTGTCGGCCTTTCAGAAGGAGAATGTCTAATGACTTTTTTGAAGTAGAGGTCAGGGTTTGCTTTTTTTAAATAAAACAATCTGTATTAATGCAATTTCCTTTTTAGCTGTAGGATTTGCCCTTTTTTTTTTTTTCCCAGCATCATTTTTTTTTACCACCACCATCCACACGAGGCATCAGAAGTGAGACCTGGTTGCTTGAAACCCACACTCCTGGTGTTTCCCAACCCTCTTATGCAAGCTCTTCTCACTTGTGTTTGTTTTTTTTTTTGGTAAAAATTGTGGTTTAAGTGACCAAGACTGGACCTTGGAGCTGGCAAGGTGACTCCTGGACATGCTTAGGGCAAAGTGTGGGTGGTTTGGAGACAAAGCTGAGTAGGGTTTGCTTTACCTGACACTGAGCACCTGGGTTTTGCTGAGCGAGGTGTGTACCCTGAGTCTGGCTTTGCTGAGCCAGAGCTGTCGATGGACTAAAGTGGCACCAAATTGGCAGGGCTGTGCTGGGCTCCCTGAGGTGAGGATGTGGACAGAGTCTGACAGGTTTGCAGTTTGCAGCCCCAAAAAATGATATTTATATTTTTTGGTACTCTCACTCTGTGTTCTCCTAGGGGTTTCCTGATATTTGTCTCATGATGTGATAACACCTTGTGCTCCCACGGTGCTCAACATCTGGATGTGCTGTGCCAGCCCCAGCCCTCCTCCTCACCCCAAAACTGCCATGGTGGCTGAGATAGGACAGTGCAGTGTCCTTGGAGCACTGCCTGGGCTGTTGCTGCTTTCTGTGGCACCCAGGTGCTCATTCCTAACACTCCCAAAATCTTGCCCTGTGGATGTTACCATGCAGAGGAACTGGGCTGAGACTTGCCCATGTCTCCCATGGGTGGAAAGGTTTCTCTAACTATGGAGATGGACCTCTGCTCCACTGTAAGGAGAATGATCCAAGTAAGGAGGTAGTAAGGAGGAGAGCTTGGGAGATGGTGGGGCTTGGCAGTGCCCAGCCAGGACCCAGTAACTGGCTCTTAGGGTGGATGCCAGGGGTTTGGTCCCTTTCTGGGCGCTGCTGGCCCCATCCACTTAAACCAGAGCCTTGTCCAGCCCTGTGTCCTGCCCAGGATGGGGATCAGAGTATCCCCTCCTGCCCCCAGACCAGGGCATCAGCCAGGCAGGGGCCAGGGCTGTGCAGGGGGGATAGCTGCGGGCACTTGCCGGGGGAGTCCCCCCCTGTGCCCAGCCCTGCTCTTCCCAGCAGGAATGGCATTTCTATATCCACTGAGCAATTCCTCTTTCTCCCTCCATCCCTGCCAGACCCCAAAAGCACAGCGTGCCCTGGGCTGGCTCCTCTCCTCCTCCTCTCCCCTCCAGCCCTCACAACTCCCCCCATTCCCTCCTAGAACGCTGTCTCTGCGGTCAGTGGCGTTATAAAACACCCCGGCCAGCCCCTTGGTGAAGGTTTTTCTCCCAGCTTTCTTATTCCCTCTGTTTCTGCCTCTTTCTTTTGCTCTTTCTCTCCCTCTCTTTCTTTCCCTGCCAGGAATCCCAGTCCCAGATGAACCAATACTCCGTGGCTCTGCTATTTCCCTTTTATTCCAACCCCCCCCTCCTTCAACAGCGAGATGGGAAAAGAGTGAACTAAAAAAAAAAAAAAAAAAAAGGAAAAAAAAAAAGAAAAAAAAAAAAAAAAAAAAAAAAGGCAAGAAAGAAAGAAAGAAAGAAAGAAAAAAATCAAAGCTCCACATATTGGATCCAGATGTGCTTACAGCCCTTTCCAGCAATTTAATTAAATTCCCCCAGACAGCCAGGAGGATTTCTTAATGATCAAATTTCCCTGGCTTTCCTCCTAAAATGCCCCTCTTTCTTCGGCTGGCTGTTGCTCTGTCTCCCTGATGGATAGCCAACTTGCATTCTTCCTAGTCCGCCCCGCCAAGGCCATGGGGAGGAAGGGGGCAGATCCCAGTGCTGTTATTTTATCCGGGCACTCAAACCCGCCAGCGACGTCCTGTTTTGTTTTTTTTTATCCCCCAAGAAATGTGGGGATGGGGAGTCACCTCCCTGGAGGCTGTAGCTTGTGGAATGGTCATGGCAGGATACTCCAGGGAAGCACTCCTGGGTGCCTGGACTCGCTGTGCTGATGGCAAAAGAAGGGGTTCAGCCCGTGGATATCTCAGCTTGTCACCTCCCAGGGCTGGTTTTGAGCCAGGTTTTGTCCCACGCTGCACCCCTAAAGCCTCATTTGAAGCACGGGGTTACCAGAGTGGGAGCAAAGCCTCTGTGGGGCTCAGGAGGCCACATCCAGCCTGGCAGGGCTCTTTG